AATACGAAAAGTTTGCTTGCTTTCGAAAATTTCACGGACTATTGCTTATTGTCAAAAAATGAGTATTTTTAATAATTTAAATTTTTTCACTAAAAGATGACTTCTTAAAATGTCAGACTGGGATTTTTCGACACAACTCGATGAGCTCTATGCAACCATGCCAAAAAGAGCGAAAAAAAATTTTCCTGCTGTAACTTTGAATTACGGCCACACCATATGAGGAAGTGTTTGAGTAGAAGCCTAGTTCAGTTTCCGATTTTTGGCGAATTGTTAGAGATCAAAGTATTGAAGATGAAGAAATGTAAAATTAATCGAAGCTGTAGAATTATTCATACGTGATGCTGTATCCGGTGCAATATGCAATTGTGAGACTAAATGGGGATGAAACATTGTACATGTAGAAAAGTAAGAGTTGCTCAACAAAATGTCGTGTTAATCAGCGTGGATATCTGAATTTAATTTAATTAAAATTTCGCTTGTTTACTTTCTTACTTTTAATAAATGTTCAAAAAATCAACAGAATTATACCAAAAAATTATAAAAGTTGAAATTTATAAAAATATGCACCCCTTCTTTTTCACTGTACTAAGCACTATGCAAAAAGTTATTTTTAGATTCATATTTCTCCAGCAAATTATAAATGCAGAAAAATTCAAAAATGTTTCGGAGACCACTTCGAATACAACCACCTTTTCGCGGTGAAGCGGATAAGTATCGTTGAACGATCACGGGAAACTAAGCGCTGAAAAACATATTTTAGGGGCCTATTGGTGGTACCACTAGTTTGTAGTAGTATGACTTCAAAAAACTGTCTAACAAAGGTAAAACAGAAGACCGACAGCTGGAATTTTGTCATCGGAATTCCGCCACTGTCGTTTTTACTCAATATTTTCGACAAATTGTCAAAAGTCAAATCTGATTTTTGACATTGCTGAATCTCACGTTGTTTTTCGGCAATTATCGAAAATCCATCGACATTTCGACAAACTACTAAATGTTAGTAAAAGTTGTTCAAGTGGCACAATATCAAAAAAATTCGTCATAATGTTCACACTTATATAAAGCAATAGATTAAAACAGAATCAGCGAACTGCAGTCTCTTCTAATAATTCACAAATAAAAATAAAATGACAAAATAAGACTTTTCTTTTCTCTTTTTCAAATACAGATACCACACAGCAACCAAAAAAAATAGAGTTTCTGTATCCGACAGCAACTGAACTTTGACAAAAAAAAATCACACAAATTACAAAGATACATAAGGCAGAAGATCATACTCAAGGTTATTGCGCAAGCATATAGTCTAAGTTATTGCGCAAGAATATATTCAAGGTTATGGTGCAAGACTATGGTCAAGGTTATTGCGCAAGAATACTCAATGCTATGGCGCAAGAATATATTCAAGGTTATTGCGTAGAGTCTACTCAAGACTATCGCGCAATATTTCCTATATAAATAGATCAATTTTATTGTTCAGGGAGAGAACTTTTTATTTGTAAATAAACGTTAGGCAAGAAAGATCTTAGTTCACACGGGAACCTAACACAAGGATTATAGATTATAAAAACACAGTGTATTATTTTATTATTATGCCTGGTGTATGCTATTAAAAATTTCACTTCAAGTCCTACTGAAAATTTTCGAACGCTCATACTGAACAAGCTTGTAACTTCGAAATGGATCAAACACTATTTGTTTATTTCAGTTTTCAATGCTGAATAAGAAAAAAATATTTGGAAATTTGTAAAGTTGTCTGGAACACAGATACTGACCTTTGCTTTGAACCTGAAGGATTTTTCGACTTTTTAGGTCCTTCAGTTTTTCATCCTCAAAAAATTTTTTTAAAATTAAAAGACACATTTTCTTAATCAGTTCGAAATGCTCTATCCAATGATGTATGGCAAGTTCAAAATAAAATTTTGCTTTAATTCTACATTGTGTGCATCTTAACAATATTTTTATTTCTGTCATCGACTGATGTGATAGATTTTTTCAACGATAAGAAAAGTCCTAGATAAAATTCAACTTGACTTCGCTCACATCATTGTAACATCTGCAATTAATAAGACAAATTTTTATTCAAAAATTTTTGAAATCTATATAAAATGAGATGATTAAGAATGAATACTATATTTCATAAACAATGTATTTTTAAAAATATTAAATTATAAATTTATTTTTCATCTGATTCTGACAATTCAGCACTATTACTCTCTTGTAACATTCTTGATAACATATTATTGAATGAATCGTCATCACCATCTCCACTTTCATTTTCTTCGTAGCGTTTTTTTAATAAGCTAACATAATTTGATAGTTCTTCTTCTTCAGCTTCACGTTTAGCATCTAATATTTCCGCATCCAAAACTTCGCGTTTATCATCTAATATTTGGTCATTCAAATATTCACGTTTTCGAAAATCTAAAATATTAACGTCATTTTATTAGTTCATTTCGTTTATGATATTTTTCTTTATTCTTCTCACATGTTTTTTCACAATTTTCACCATAATTATTATCTCGACATCGACAATAATATGTTGTCGTTAATGCCATACATGTTCCACCATTACGGCAAGGATTTGGGGAACATTTCGATTGTGTATATTGATTGTAATTCGTATCACCAGGTTGATAAAATTCTAAACAAAGAGTGGATCTTTAGAATAGAAGGCGAAATGGATACATTGACATAAGGTGCCGGCAACTGAAAATAGGCTTTAGCTTGTCAAACTATTTTTCTTCAAATACAGCTTTTATAGTCAGTTTCAAACGAAGAATAAGAAAACATTAGTTTAGAGGACTAAAAATATCGAAAAAACAAAAAATATGGCATGTTTTTCAAAATACACCTACTTTACCCAAAGATGGAGCATTCCATTATTTTGAATTTTTTTCCACGAAGAAATATTTTAGTCACTTTCATGTCCTCTATCCAACTATGTATAAAAAATCGAAAAAAAAATTTACTATGATTTTCGATTGCCGGCACTTTACATAGAACTTTACAGTAACATAAGTTCAATTTAACAAATATACTAATCTCCCTATTTTACTCGTTAGTTAGACTGTCCTAACTCGATAGTATATGATACTATCCTTGCTTTAATACTTGTTTAATATTGATCAATACGTGAGAAATATAGCACAAAATTTTACCTTTTGCTAGTTTCTCAAAGTCTTATCTTCACTAGTCATAGTGAACGATATCTTGCAAACAATTCTTTCATGTATGTCAAACAAAACTAGCACTAAAAAATAAAATATCGTTTGTTCTTCTATACTTACTTGTTTGACAATTAGTACCTAAAATGAAGTAAAAATTTTAATTAGTTTTGTCATTCTTTTTAATTATTAAAAATTACAAAAGCTTACAATTATGTCACTATGTAGAAAAATCTCAACCTTCTGATATATGTACAAATCAGGTGATGTTTTCGTTCTTACATTAGTTTCAATTCTATTAAGCTTTCATGAATGTATCAGTGTTTCTGTCCGCCTAATTTTACGATGTATAAAGTGATACTTTAGAAACAAGTATTATTAGTGAACAATTATTTCTACACAAATGTAAATGTAAATCATGCGTAATTAAACTTATTTTTTAAGGTTAATAGTTTGATATTTTACCATAATATTCTGAGGTACATTTGCACCAAAAATCATCGCCAACATTCATACAAGTACCACCATTGTTACATTGATTTTTGTAACACGCATTAGCTAAAACAAAATTATTAGGCATTCAGAGAAAACTTTTGAACGAACCACTGAACACTTCTTCTAATACTAACGATGGTAACTTACCCACTCCACAAGTGACGCCTCGCCATGGTCCAACACATCTGCAATCGTATGTCAGTGATCCTGTTGGTGTGCATATACCATTGTTAAGGCACGGATATGATGAACAAGCTTTTGAGCCACTTGGTGAATATGTACTAGTTCTATAGCCGTAATAGTCGGTTGTTGATCTTGTAAACAAATTATCAATAACACTTGGAGTCCATGTAGTAGTATCTTTATGAAACAAAAATCGTTTCAATAATTTAAGCCGATCTTTCTCAGAAAGTGAATCTAAAACGAAAATATTTAATTTATTTAGTAATGACTGTTTAGAATATAAATGTCATTATCTCACCATGCTTATACGAAATGACACTACTTATCAGTACCAAAAGCAATACCGCTGACCCTGGCAAATTCATATTTTAAGAGATCTAAAATTTAAAAAAAAATAAAAGTTTGACATTACACTTTAAATGCAAATTCTATCATTTTCTCTTAAATTCTTCTTTGATGTAGTTTGAAATTTGTACCATGTTTTACCTGTGATATTTTCACTTAGAATCAAGGATTACAACAAGTAAAGATTAAAATAAATGTAATCGAAGAATATATGTCTTCGATTAAAATCGAATAAATATTTTGTTTTTTTTTTGTATTTCGTAGATATCTTACCTGTATTATACCGTTTTTTTCTTTTCAAGTAAAAATGGAACTGAAATCGTAATATATACTTAAATGATACACTTACCGGATTATTCATGATGAAAATAAAAAAAATGTTTCTGTTTTTCTCTACACTTAGACGAATCTTTTGTATTTTTAGGTTGTTATTCATCCGTATAAAAAAAGCATATCTTTTACCAAATTAATCATAAACAACTTTACAAAACATATTTACTCGGCCTATTATACAAATACAACATGTAAGTTGCGATGGAAGAACAATGACAACTGGGTGGATAAACTGTCATAATGTCAGCACAGCTGATATCATTTCTCTATCGTTCACAAATATCGTTACTCTGACAGAATACTATTTTCAAATTGGTCTAATCAAATGACAAGGAGAGTTTCAAATAAAATAAAAAATTATTTTCAAAATACAGAATATATAACTGGTGTACCATAATGAATGATATCCTTCGTATTATCTATTTTTTTTCTCTTGTTCGTTTTATGTTCCGAGGGTTACTGTTTTGTTTTTACCCTATCTCGCAACTATAGCTTCGCTATAGTTCGAGCCTGGTTAAACGTTTAGTATATTCGATCGTTTAAAACCACTTCACTTCGAGAAATAGAAAAAGGTTGTAAGAGGCACTATCAACGAATTGCCCGGTCAATGTACTTCTTTTGCACTTTATGTTTGTTATAGTGCGTAGTAATAAGAGTGTGAGTCACTAGTGTGCACTAAGGGTAATTAATCGAATAACGCTTACATGTAGGCGAAGTAAAGTAAACTTGAAAGTAAAATAAACGTAAAGTATTTACTAAATAAAATTATTTGTCTATGTCAAAAGTTTCAAACTGACAGGTATACCAGTCTTCACTGTACTACGTCTATGTGAGCACTGTGAAGACCAACAGATGTGACTTTCAGCGAGATAGGGACGGATCTATCTAGATCTTATTTTAAAAAGATTCACCATTTCATTCTCTACAGAAAATATCTCGAACGTTTTTCTATATATTGTAAAAATAGAAAAATATAGAGGATATACTGCGAAGCTTCAATCTCGACAAGTTTCTAGCCCCAAAATACAGTTTCTTCAATTTCAATTCCTCATATTTTGGGATATAAAAAAAGGAAGATGGTGATTTTGTAGCCCTTGAAAAGTTCTACCAACTGGTTATGTTTAGACCTCTTCATAATCACAAGCCGTTGAAGCAGAATTATTTTTATTTTATCCATCTTGTCAAAAATCATCGTTTTTAAACTGCAGTTTTGAGACAGTTAGAAATTTTTTTATAACTCGACTAAAATGAAACATTTTGAGATTGAGTTTGTTTTATTTTAAAGCAGAATAATTTTTCTAGTACAGACGAATAGAGGAAGTTCCACAGCTCCATCGGCAAATTTTCCCCTTTTTCTGATGAATTTTGATAAAATTCTCTTTTGTACCAAAGAATACGTTTAAAGCGGGCCGATGATACTTGACAAGAAAGACAACACTTGGAGGAACCGGACCGTATATTTCGATTCCACACTGTTGCATGCAGCCATGTTCAAAATAATTATTTTTCGTTCTGCTTTGGGGTTAGAAACCTGTCGAGATTGAAGCTTTGCAGTATATCCTCTGTATTTTTTTATTTTTACAATATATAGAAAAATATTCGATATGTTTTCTTTAGAGAATGAAATGGCGAACAAAAACATTAACCCTCGGAACATAAACGAACAGAGAGAAAAATAGAAATACGAATTACGAAGTCATTCATTATGCTACACTCGTTAAGTTCTAAATTTATTGGTATGGAGAAGAAATATGCTTTATCAGCAATGAAGCTAATCATCAAGTAATAAAATCTTATGTCTACCTACTCTGTTTCATTACTATTCTCTTAATTCTAAAACTTGGAGCAATTTTTTCAAAAATCAAATGAACATGAGTATTAAGATCGTTAAGATATCCTCCGTTGGAACCATTGTGCGTGAATACGTGATGAAACGTAGTCAAGATGATACCAACACGTACACTGACTCGTTATCTGAAATAAACTTTATCTGTGTATTTACTATCGAATTGGTTTTATAACCAAACGTTTTCACGACATAATTAATCCAGAATGAAGAAAAAAAAGACACACTCGTCTCATAAGATATGACTGCCTTTGGGTCAATTTTACAATAGAGAGTATGAATTTTGATCGCAAAACAACTTCGATGTAGGACTTTGCAAGATATACATATGTACCTGGTACATAAACAACGCATCGATATCTGATTATACTATATAGTTTATAAATCGTTAAATAAAATGCGTTCGAACTTTCATTAACCACAGAGTTATGAGAAACAATAGTTTGACTCGCTATTCATAATAAATAATTCTCAATGTTTGTTGGTTGTTTTTCTAGTTTAATTTAAAGATTAGTGCGAAATTGATTGGAAAGAATAAAGAATCATTATTGAGGGATCCCAGAAAATTCAGAATCAAATGCGTCACATCTGTCCATTTCAGAATGCCATAGGCAATATGCGAACATTATTTCTGTGCATAAAACTTCCAGTACTCTTATGCGATGTTTTTGAATGACAAATAAAGTTCAACGATATCTCCTACTTTTTTCGTCCACTTTCAATGAAAACTTTCTGCTCCCATTTCTTTACATTAAAAACATTTTTAATGTGTCAGATAGATAGAAAATACTCAGCTTTAATGGTATTGACTTTGAGTTCCGAAGCACATAAAATGCTACAAGGACTAGATGCCTATGGTAATCCTGTTAAAAATCCTTAATCAGATTTTCGGCGCAGGGAATAACAAATAACGAGCATGAGAATTTGTAGAGAAGTATAAATTGTATAAAATCTGTACTTTGAGCAAGTAAAGATTATTCACTGGGATGTGTGAAAGATACTATTCCGTTTAAAACAAAGAAATCTAACTTATAAAGATATTTTCTTTGATGGAATTCCAGCTGACTAGAACTACAACAGCAATGATACAAACATAACAGCATCAGATGTTGAAATGATCTGACATCATACTATAGAGATCTAAACCAGATATCTAAAACGGAAGAAGATAACAGAATAATAATCAACAATAGTAAGAACGAAGAAATAAATAGTGAGTCGCGAAGTACGATAAAAACATGCGTATCTCACTCTTATATTTCCATATGGAGTCAAGAGAACAGGTTGGTAAATCTTAAAAAGACGATCTTATAAGAAATTTCAAGAAATCACGTAATTACTTTTTTTGCTGATTCCAGGTGTCCATCATCTTCCATGATTCATCTGTCTGCAAATTGATTTGGTACATTTTTGTAGTGCTCTTATTTGAGTGAGAAGAATTTTCTTGTTGATATGAAAATAAAATCTTTATGCAATGAACAAAATTTGAATTCGAAAAAGCATTTTGATACAGAACTTAAAGATAAATCAAGAGCAGATTGTTAAGTTAGGGATGCATCAAACTCAATGGCACCAAACTTTTACATGAATTTTAATTGTACTAAAAGTTTGGATTTGATGAATTTTTACGCTGAGTAAAAGAAGTAAGCACAAACTACCATTAATATTAAGAAATTATAAACACTTGATTTGAAACTTAAAAGGGTTGTCAGATGACCTTAGAAACTAAAATGTGAGCAGCACCTTACTGTCATCCTACGCGAATGTTAAAAAGCATTTTGTTGGGATGGATGATTTGTATAATTCACTTTGTCTGCATTTTCATAGTAAACTTTCAGTAACATGGCATTGAAAACGGATATTTGGTTAAACTCAACCTTTATCATTTCAGAACACAGTATAACGTTCAACTAAAATGAGTTTTATTTAGCTAATTGTGCAATATGTCGTATAGCTGTGCATTTTGTGTCTCATACTATAAAAAAACGAATAACGGCACGGCGTAGTGGAGTAATAGACCATCAATTCTTGTATTTTAACATGTAATTTGAATAGATCGTACATTTGAATCGAGATAACATTTAAATCGACGCTAGTTTCATGAATTTCTTTAAACAACTAACAAAGCTTTAATTTTCAAGATTTTTTTAAACAGCAAATGAAATGCTATGCCATCTCTGTTTAAAAGTCTATCCATTATTGTAAGAAAAAGTCCGAAAGGCTCTTTCCTTTTGCTTCCTTCTACATTCTTAAAAAAGAACGTATATTACAAAACCAAAAGTTGCTGGTATTTGCATTTGCGATCATTCGAAACGCATTTCTCTTTTGCATTTAGAGTGCAGAAACTTCTTGGGTTAAAACACTGCTTTAACAGTAAATGAAAAAATGGATAAGGATTTGTTATACGTATATTGTGGGTTTTGTATTAATTCTTATAGTATTTCAAAATACGCCTAACCGTATTTGAAGGAGAAGTTTTTGCGCTCTGCAAAACCAAAACGCGTTTCGAATAGTCGCAAATACAAAAACCCTTCGAAATACTGATTTTTAGTATTTTGAACTATGCGTCAGGACTTTGTGCAATTTATAAAATCGATTTCCTTTTTCCGTTTTTCAATTTGAAAATGCATCTTGCATTTACCACACGCTTAAATAACACTTGAAGTTAAGCTATCATAGGAGAAAAAAGACCTACACTAATTCAGCATGCGAGGTTGCAGCACGCGAAGTATATAAATTCAGTTCAGTAACAATTTTAGTATCTTTTCACTCTATTTATTTTGTATGAAGTTGGATTAGAGAAATATGAAAATGAACCAGTAAAGTAAAGAAAAACAGCAG